TTGGGGCTATTATGGTGCTGAAATTGCGAATAAATCGTCAGTAGAAGGTGGTCAAATCGTGGAAGCTTCTGACTTCAGAGAAATTCCGGGGTGTTGGCCATGCCTGGACAGCGTGCACCTTTACAGGATCGGCCTCAACTCCTTGGTTTGAGATGATAAAATCGAGGAACTTGACACTTGTCTTCGTAAACGAACACTTCTCCCTATTAATAAAGAGTTATTCCGCCTTCAAGACCTTTCCGCCTTCAAGACCTTAAGACCTTTAGTACATGTTTGATGTGGCTCAAATGTTCCTGCACGCTTCGACTGAAAATTAATATAGCATCAAAGTATACTACAACAAATTTACCCAAAAAAGGTTTGAGGATTTGTGTCATGACCCGCATGAACGTGCTGGGAGTGTTCGTTAATCCGAAAGACATAACTAACCATTTGAACAACCCATATTTTAACTTGAAGGCCGTCTTCCATCCATCCCTTGGTCATATCCGAATTTGGTGATAGCCACTCCTGAGATCTAACTTGGTGAAAATAGAAGAGCCACTTAGCGAGTCTAACATGTCGTCGAGGCGTGGGATGGGAAATCGATACTTCACGATTATTTTGTTGATTGCACGGCTATCTACACACATCCTCCAATTACCATCCTTCTTCGGTGTCAGTAAAACTGGAATAACACAGGGACTAAGGCTTTCTCTAATAAACCATTTGTCTAGCAAGTGCTGAATTTGTCAACTAAACTCTTTGTTTTCTGTTGGAATCATTCGATAGTGTGGGATGTTGGGCAAAGTTGAACCGGGGATCAAGTCAATAGCATGTTGGACTTCCCGAAGGAGAGAGAGTTGATTCGACATTTCATCTGGCATGATATCCTGGAATCCTTCCAGCAATGCTGAGAGCTCTGGTGGAACGTGATCGTCCTCTTGCGTCGCCTCACGTGTGACTATCATAAGCACCATCTGGTGGTCATGCATAGCGCGAGTAAATGGGTGCATCGCCAGAATTGGGCACGCTTTCTTCTTTGCCTCAAATTCCGTAACCTGTAAGGGATCTAGAACAAACTTCTTACCTTTAAAATCAAAGGAGTAAGTGTTAGCGTACCCGTCATAAATAACTTTCCGATCGAAGAGCTAGGGTCGCCCTAATAACAGGTGGCAAACAGTCATAGGAATTACATCGCACCATGCTTCATTTGCGTATGTTTTCCCCAGCGAGAAGTTAATCAAACAGCGTCGCTTCACAAGGACAAAATTAGTTTCATTAACCCAACTACTCCGATAGGGTGCGGGGTGCTTTTCTGTCTTTAATTTCAGTTGTTCTACGACAGTTTCAGAAATCATATTCATGACACCTCCATTGTCAATAATTACATTCAACGCCAGACCGTTATGCTCCAGTCATGTATGAAAAATATTGGTGCTCTGCCACTCGGGGTTGGTCTAGAGTTCTTTTTTTGATTCCGTCAATACTCTCTTGATTACGCAGCTGGGTAACTCCGATGCGCTCAAATGTTCTTCTTCACTGTGAATATCCTCATCGGGATGCTCCTCCTCCGTGTCTTCGCCCACCTCCACCTCCAGTAGCTCCTTCTCGCAGATAAAGGCTAATTTCTTGTCTCTTGTCGGACATACGACGACATAGTGTCCGAAGCCTTTACACTTATAACACTGGGGTCTGTCGCTGGTAACCTTTGTTTTTCCCACTAAGCCTCCACTTTCCACGACTCTGAAGTGATCTTTCGGAGCTGATGCTCTTTTGGAAGGAGTAATGTTCTTGTCTTGCGTCTGTTGCCGTCACTTTCCTCATCACCGTAGAACCTATTTGTTTCTCAATACGGAGAGCCAACTGGTCGCCTCCTCGACGTTGATTAAGCGAGCAGTCCAAATCTCTCTATGTAGCTCACTCCTCAAGTCGGTGCAGTATTGAGCCAAAGTTTGTTGTTCGGTTTCAACGATTTTGCTGCGGACAGTCAACTCGTGGAAGCGGTTATTGAATTGATCCACACTCAACGACCCCTGCCTGAGCTGCAACATTTCCTCGAACATCATTTGCTCATAATCAATGGGCAAATATTTTTCCTTGAGCCTCTCCTTCATTTCTTCCCAATTGGAGACCGCTGGACGTCGCGTACGTCGTAACTGTTCTTCCACACTTCCCCACCATGCTCGCGCATGCCCCTTCAATTTCATCCGGACGTACTGAACCCTCTTATCCTCTGAGACAGAAAACCAATCGAAATAATCCTCGATTGTTGTTAACCAATCCTCGAACGCGTTGGGTTCCAGCTTCCCGTAAAAATCTGGCACATAATCTTTATTCTCTTGGTGAGTTCTTTTAGAGGTTTATAATCTAGACTACGTTCGACCTGTCCTCGGCGGAAACTTGACCCGTGGCGCCGGACTCGCGATTCGCGGTTCTCCAGCTCCTGAGTTTTCTCATCTTCCTCTACGTCATTCGCGTGTCTGTCGCTGTTGTCCTTTTTTCTCCCACGCGCTGCTTCTTGCCCTCGTTGATTACTAGGGCCATACTCCGTTTGCGCATAGCGTTCCTCCATAACATCAAGCCAATGAGTGAGTGCTCTAAATGCTCTAAAGCGGTGGTGAGTTGGTGGATTTGGTGTTGTAGCTGGGGTTGATCTGTGTGATGATTGATGGGGTTTTGGTCGTTTGGGTGCGAGTTGTTCGCCATGACATATAAGCTACCACTGCGAGTTACATGCATGAGATGACGACTTCGTAGTGAGGGAACTTTGATCGTCTCTGATACCAAATTGATGCATTCCTTTAAGTTCAATATCTCGTTGGACTCAAGAGAGAGTCAAAGCATAATCCTTCTGCGATGTTGGAAACTCACCAACGAAATTCAAAAGAATTCATGAAGTAGTAGCAATAGTCAATGCCCCCATCTTTTTTTCTTACTCCATTTAAATAATAGAAACATATTACAAACCCCCCATCCCAACGGGGAAGGTAATAACCTATAAATTGCCCTTCCTGATTTGTCTCGGTTTTCAAATCCTCCATAATTTGAAACTTTAATTTGAATTTTGAATTTGAAATTAGGATTTATTGCCCTTCCTGATTTGTCTCGGTTTCCAAATCCTCCATAATTTAAAACTTTAATTTGAATTTTGAATTTGAAATTAGGATTTATTGCCCTTCCTGATTTGTCTCGGTTTTCAAATCCTCCATAATTTGAAACTTTAATTTGAATTTTGAATTTGAAATTAGGATTTATTGCCCTTCCTGATTTGTCTCGGTTTCCAAATCCTCCTCCATAATTTCTTCTAGATTTGCATCACTACAACACTTGATTTTGTTCAAATTTAATATGGTTAAAAATTTATTTATTTAATAATCACATTATCGATTAGGTTTTGCCTCTCATATTTGTTGTTTGCATATAAAAAAATTTGGTTGTTGGCTTATTTAGTGATTTTGTGATATGTGAATTCTTAGATTCCCTTGCATGATAGATATACATTACATCATACAAGTTGCACTAGAACCCTAAATTTGAACCGTTCTGCTTCGTGGGTTCAGTTGAGGCTGCAGACAAAATAAGTCTTAAAATGTTTTCATGGTGTGACTAAGTAATGTAAGGTAGTTGGCTTGTTGATGGAGAGGGATGATATGAAGCTATTTTATTACAATTAAAAGTGGCTTTCCCAAACATTCAAACTTCTGTTTGAATTGTATCTGAGTATTAACATGGTGACACAGAACCATGCTTATCCTTACACAGAAATGCTTAATTCTCTATTATTATTTGATCCTATGTGCCGTCTAAACATTTTTTATCTTAAATGCTTATAATTTTTTATTGTTTTCTGTTATATATATATATATAGTGTATATATATATACATTACACAAAAAATGTGTCTGCTCGATTCTTAAAGAATTCCAACAGCCAACAACGAAGATGATGTAGCGGTCCCGGACCCGCCAAGGGTAGTTTGAGAGTATGTATTTACGCGCGTGGCTCCTCCTGCTGGCTAGGAGAAATATAACCCCATGGCTGATGAAAATCGACTATATTCTCAAAGGGCCACCGGTGCCAACCTCGCGCGGACAAATCGGTCAGAATTGCTCATCCAAGCGGGGCGGATGATCGGAGCTGCTCGAGTCTTAGACAGGCGGTCTGCACGTCCTGATCAACCCTTCAGCCATAGCCGCCCGGATCATGACCCGACCGGATGCCATCTCATACTCCTGACGCATAACCACCCGGATTGTGACCCGACCGGAAGCCATCTCAGACTCCCAGCGCATAGCCGCGCGGATCATGACCCGGTCGTACGCCATTTGATTTCAGGCTCCCGGTCATGCAACTATGTATTGTCCAAAATACCCCATACTATACCTACTTAACTAGGGGTACATGTGTAATCTCACTGCCCCTATTCTTATAAATAGAGGCTCATTTCATGAATAAATGTTACGCGATTTTACTGTTCATTACCATATTTTCTCTGCTCTTTTCCTTTCTTTCGCACTCTATTCCTTAGGTGTGTTTTCCCGACAAATTTGGATTCAGCATATTTGTATATATATATAGATATAGATACATATACATACATACATATACATACCATACATATACATAGACATACATTACATACATACATACATACATACATACATACATACATACATACGCTCGTGCGGCGCTCTTCAAAAGCTTGCAATTCGTATTATCTTCTTGTAAAATCAGTTGACATTCTATTTTGAATAAGTTCTGAAGTCCCTCTGAATATATCTGCTATCAACGAATCATTATTGGATTTGCATGTTGTAGGTAGCTTAAACCTGTCATTTAGCTTTAATATTTTAGGCATTAGTTTTGCGTCGTTTGGCTTATTCGAATCCTCCATATATAATAGCTTAGGAATTACATAATATTGGTGATTTAGTTTTGCATGCAATTCAATTAGAGTTTCCTGACAGTTTGTGCACAAGTTTCCTGAACCCCAAAATTTTGCGCATTCATTTTTTGCAGGACACTGTATGGATAACCTCCATAGACTATTTTAATGCAGAGCCTGATCCACTTCGTAATTGTGCAGAAAAGATTGTGAATGAATTGGATGCTAAACACGCAGAAGATATTCTGCGGGTATGCCATGTTTATGTGGACTCTCAATTTCAGGTTTGACTTCTAAATTTTTTTTAATATTCTAAGACTTATATAGATTTATGGTAAAGTTTGCTTTATCATCCATGTCAGTTTCTGGCAAACTGCACTTTTTTTTAGTCGGCATGCTTACTTATATCATCCCTTAAGCTTAGTGTTATAATTTGGGATATTGCTCCAGGAAAGACTAAAGGAAATTTAGAGCTACATTTTTACTTCAGCAACAAAAATCTTCATACTTCAGTTTTTAAAAGTATAGAATTTACGTGGAGGGGAAAATTTCTTGATTCATTATTGAAAAATAGGGCCCACATATATAGGAAAACTAATACAAACATACCAAATATATCTCCCCTAAATTAGAAAAGGAAATAATTTTGAATAAGAAATAGAATAACATAAAATGTAAAGAGAGTAAGACAATCGAAGTTTTCCTAAGATATCCCAATCAACTCCTCCAAGATTTGGAGATGGCCCCACATGAGAGAGAGAAATGGGGAAAGAAGAAAGTCTTCTCAGATTTACACACTCCCCTCAAGCTGCGTCGCAGATATTGTAGAGACCAAGCTTAGTTTTGAATTCTGATAAGTTCCTGAAAGGAAGAGCATTGGTGAAGAAATCTAACTTGGTGTGTCGGGATGTAACTTAGCTATATAATTCTCCCATTGACATTTTCAGAGATGAAGTGTCTATCAACTTCATTGTGCTTGATCCTATCACGATTCACAGGATTCTTTGTAATATCGATAGTTATTTGATTGTCACAAAACATCTATATATCCCCACTGGAAGTACATTCTAGTTTCCTTATCAATTTTTGAATCCATTTCTCTTCACAGATCTCTAAGGCAAGTGCCCTTTATTCTTATTCTACATTTTTTCTCGAAACAACTTGCTTCTTGTTTTTGCATATAACCAAATTTTTCTATACATATGAGCCGTAACTTGTGGTGGGCCTCTGTTAGTGAACTCTCTGGCCCAACTAGCATCAGTGTTGACTTCTATTTCTCTGTTTCTAGTTTTCTAAAAAATTATCCCATAATTAAGAGTCTTTTTGAGAAATCTCAGAATCCTGTATATCATATCCAAATGCTCTTCATTTGGGTTATTCATGTGTTGGCTCACAATACTGACGGTGTATGCAATATTTGTCATAGCATGTCACAGACTACCAATCTTTGGTATCTTCCCTTATCCACAGATATAATTTCTTATTCCCAACTTGTTGGGTTTCATTGGAGTACGAGCACGTTTGCATTCAATCATTCATGTTTCCTTTAGCAGATTTATGATATATTTTCTCTTTGATATATCTCTTTCTTAGACCTTGCTACCTCCATACCTAGAAAATATCTCATATTTCATAGGTCCTTATTTCAAACACAATGGTAAACACTTCTTTGTTTTTAAGAATTTTTCTTTTATCATTACCACTAAGAATCATATCATCTACATATACGATCAATGTAACAATTTTATCTCCTTGAATGTGTTTTATGAATAATGTGTTATCAACTTGATTTTGAGAATATCCATTGGATTTAATAAATTTAGCAAACCTTTCAAATCACATCCTTGGTGATTATTTAAGCATATAGAGTAACTGTCTAAGTTTGCATACTAGGTGTTTGTTGGAATCATTTTCAAGTGTTGGTGGTATCTTTATGTGGACACTTCTTCTTCTAGATCCCCATTCAGGAATTCATTTTTATGTCAAGTTGATGTAGTCCCCATTTCTTGTCAGCTACTACTGAAAGAACTCTTATAGTATTCAATATGACAACTGATGCGATGGTCTTCTGATAGTCATTTCTGTACGGTTGTGTGAAACTTTTAGTAACAAGTTTGGCTTTGAATCTTTCAACACTCCCATCAGCTTTGTATTTCATGTTGAACATTTGTTTGCATCCAACTGGCTTCCTATCCTAAGAAAGTTTTGTAAGACCATGTGCCATTACGTTTTAATGCTCGAACCTCTTCTTCACTACTTTCTTCCATTCTAAATTTTCAAGAGCTTCATGAATGAATTTAGGAATATGCACACTATCAATATTATATATAAACACTCTATAAATTGAGGATAGCTTTCCAATTTTCTTTGTCACCAGTACTAAAAGTGGAAGGGGATAACTCATGAGTACTTGAATTTCAAGTAAATGTAGACTTGGGTTTTGGTTGGAACAGTTTTGTCTTTGCAAGTTGTCTTCCACCTGCTCAAAATTTTTATTTCTCCTAGTGTACACACAAAGTTCTTTGTTGTGGACTTCAAGTTTGGTTGGTTGGATATTCTCAACAAGAGTAAGAGAGTTTGGAAGAAGAATATGTGAGTTTGTTGAGTAGGTGTCATCATGTGCATCCCAAATATGATGTTCATTTGCAGTCTCCTCTTGAACATAAGATTTGAGATTATAGAATTAATTTTTAAAAAATGTGATATCCATGAAGTTGTATTTTATAGTAATAATAGAGTAACATTTATATCCCTTTTTTTAGAGGCATACCCAATGAAAATAAACTTTATAGATTTAGGATTAAATTTGGTGTGGGTTGGGGAATGAATATAAACATATTATACACATTAAAAAATTTTAAGTGGTATAATAGAGGTGAAAGTTTTGATGTGTGGGCTGGTAACCATCAAAATATGAAGTGGTGTTTTGAAATGAACTACCCAACTATACATTTGATTGATAAAATATGTCGCGGTAAGAACTACTCCCACCTAAAAATATTTTGAAATTTGATGAGAAATCATAATTGTCGGGATATCTCGAGTAAATGCTCTTTTTTTCTCTTGTGATCTCATTTTATTATGGGGTATCAATACATAAACTCACATGGATGATTTTATTTTTTGAAAGGTTTGGCCCAATGATGGAGTCAAAATATTCCTTTGTCTTTTTTAATTTTGGGATATGAAATTTGCATTGGAATTAAGTTTAGATCATGTCATGGAAGATTTGGAAGATTTGGGTTATTTCAGATTTTTCATTCTAAAAATACCTAAGTAGTTTTAGTATGATCGTTAATAAATGAGACAAACCATCTTGCCTCACTTAGAGTTTTTACCTTTAAAAGTATCTAATTATCACTGTGGATAATGAAAAATGGAAGTGAGAGTTTATACTATCATGACTGGGCCCGGGGCTTCGAATTAACCAAGATAGGAACAAACTGTCAGACGGTGAATTAATTCTTTGCTATTTTATTTCTATCACTAACATTTTAATAATTAAAAAAAATATGAAAGAGTCACTAAAGAAAATAATTAAAATTAATAAGTAGAAATTTATACCTTTCTGGAAGCTGGTCTCGACTCCAATACACATTTGATCATTTTTTGTTTATCTTGTTCAAATAGTTAAACCCAAAAAAATATTAAAACAATATAATAAGTTATCTAAAAATAACCTAGGAGTAAACACATTTTTAAACGATAGTAACTCAAGAAAAAAAAATCAATATGCATGCTTGTCTTTTATATCTCTATAAAAAATTTTATATATGCTAATGCATGTATTAATGAACTTTTCTAAATGAAAATACTCAAGTCTTCTATATGCATTTACTTTATCTTTACTCATATATGCTAATGCATGTATGAATGAATTTTTTTAAATGAAAGTACTCAAGTCTTCTATATGCATTTACTTTATTTTTACTCTTACTTTATACTCTTTACATACACATCTGCCTCTATGAGGATCACTATTAACAAAACCTAACACACCCTTTCCAATATTGCCCCTGCCGGCTCTTGTCGGTACAATGGTAAACAATGTAAAATTCACAATTGTCTAGGGTAGAAATACTCTTATCTGTCTCCTGACTAATATTTTATCCTGTCGGCACAATACTTAGCAATGTAAACATCACAATCACAATTGTTTGTGGAGATCATCTTTGGTTTACTCGCCTTTGGTCGATTATATTTCGTTGACACAGTGATTAGTGTTTTAACCATTAAATATGTTTGGGGTGGTAGAAAAACTCTACTGGTGCGAGTACGCTGGTGTCCCCTGTTTGTACCATTAAGGGGTGATTTCTTCCTCTGAACATACACATATAAGCATTCATATATAAACTATTTCATTCTTCATAACATTCATTATTCTGATATATTTTTATGTATCTAATAGTATTCATATTTACTCTACTGTGCAACTATTCATCATACATAACTCTCATATCATGCATATCTCTTCTCTCATGCATATTTTTTATATCTTTTTTTCATGCATATATTTTCTATCTAACAATATGAAGAATCTAACTAAACTAGAACATATATAGTCAAACATACATTTTAAAAAAAAAAAAAGATTACTGAAATTTAGAAATGTAATTACGTATCTCGGTTTCCACGTTTAATTCTTAATCATGAGTTATTAACTGGGCGTGATAACTTTTATGTTGAGCTTAATGACCTATAAAACCTAATATTAAACTTTAACATTTAAGCAATTTCTGTTAATCTAATTAATCTTCTTAGCTTAGAACTAACTTGAATTTTACAGAGTTGTCCTATGTTCCATACGCTTGCCTCGAACTCGCCGCCTCAGATAACCAATCTGAAATCTTAAGCGGCTTCAAAATTTAGGATATCTTAGTTCATAAGGTGATTTAACTCAAAATATAATTATTTTGTAAAAACATACCTTAAATGGCTTTTCGGTCAAAACTTCTTTCTTCTTCCTATCTTCTCAATCTTCTCTTCTCATTCGCTGGATTCATGTTAAACCCCTACAGAAACTCACAAACCACTTCCGACAATTCCGCACAAGATCGGAGCCTCCGATGGCTACTGAAAATGAACAATGCACGAAAAATAGAAAAATGTCAAAATGGAAGCAAGAGGAAGGAAATGAAAGTCTCAAATGTCTTTAAAATCAGTTTCACACTTACCTATTTCATTCCGGAGACCCAAATCATAGTTTGCGGCACTCTGTCGTGTGCTTGCGCACATTCCTGACTCTAGCACTTTAGCTGGAGTTGCGGTTACCCCCAGGCTGAGA